CCAAGGGGTTCTTCATAACTCCGGGCTTCCGGGCACAAAGGCAGAGGCCAGCTTTCGTAACTGTGTCATGGGAACCGTCAGGAGAAAGAACCCGCTTCCAGTACATCAGGACAGTAACATCTACATATTCCATGTGAGCAAGATATCTAGTCAGATATCTTGAACCTTGTCTTGCATCTAGAATGATATCTTCGTTTTTGCCAGGGTCAGTACTATTCTGGAAAAGAAAGATTCGAACAATACTGAATAGCGTATCTCTCTTGCGAATTCAACAATTAATAGGAAACCACCGCTTCAACTGACACCATGCATAGTACCTACATGCATCTCTTCCATGATGGAAATGAGTGTTTATGTACACTACAGTATTTCAAGTGTTTCCACATCGTCGGACGATGTAGTGAATTAAATGCAGCTTCTAAGTCGAGGAAACTAGCATGCGGTATTAAATCATGACCTTGAGCTTCTAACATACTTGAGTGTCTGAAGCCATATGTTCTGCGTTTCGTACAGAGAGTATCAGCTGCTGAAACATCACTGGCAACGAGTAGCGATGCGCTGTAAACAAGATAGCATTGACCATAGCCTACTTAAAGAGCCCCTTGGCATCGAAGCGAGGGGACAACACTGCAATAATGCCATGAAACCGAATCTGACTGATTTATGAGATTATTCGCCATGAATAATAGTGTCATGGAACGAAGTATTCCCGTTTTTTCGCAATATTGCCTAAAGTGATTGATGCTTAATTAATTATAAATAATCAATAATCAGCTGTTGACCGCCAAATGCAAACACGTTCTCTGACATTACTGGAAACAAATTAATTATTCCTGCTATATAAACAAGCATGGACGAATGAAAAATTGTGGCAAATTGCTATGTGAACATGTGCGTGACAGACCAAAAACCTTTCTGATTAAATTTTACTTACCGGAGTCCTTATCACTGTAGCGAAGATTTTGCAAGACAGAGAGCACCCCAGGAGAAGCAGACGTTCGCCGTTCAAAGATTTATCTGTAGCAGAAATCTTGCAGGTTCTAAAGGTGATTATTTGCAACATCTGCTTTGAACAGGACAACAGCTTCTATGGTCAGTTTTATGGTACCTCTTATCATCGTTTCTACTGCGGAAATTTTTGTCAATAACTTTGAATCCGTAGCTTTAGAACAGTACCCTCCTAATTCTTTACATTGCAAGTACATTCACGACATCGTTGCTCTTTGAAAGTAGCACAAACCCCGCCCAGTTCTTTCTTAATTTCATAAACAGTTATGACTATCAGAAGAAGGAATTCACAATGGAAGAAGAACAAAACAACATCATTTCTCTTCTGCACATTAAGACAAAGATACACTTTATCGATAATTCTCTACCCTTGCTCGTTGCCGCAGTTCATAGATCATATTTCGCTAATATTGTCATTAACTTTAGTTGAGGAGCGCTATTTTACTGTAATTTCCTATCGGTATATAAATCTGACATTTAAAACTTGTCAAGCATACCAAAACTAGTGGTAACGATCAGAGTATTGTGCAACATGATGGTTTTCATCCAACAGTCTTCATCTTCCATCTCAGCATCATTGACACAAGTTATATGTAGAAGCACAAATATCGCCGATGTTCTGCTGTAGCTACCACAAATGGCAGGCTTCTAATCATTACCTTGAGCCTTTTAATTTTAGTGATTTTCACCTCTCCGTTATTGTGCAAATAAAATCAAATTGAATGTCATCTTGAGTAAAGGCATCCTCCACTGTAACATCCTGTATGGCGAACATTTTACACCATGCATGCGACCTGCTTAAAACTGAGTTGCTAACAATACGCAATGTAAAGGTTATCGAAAGATTTACGCTGGTATGACAAAAAAACTTTAAAAAATTGTCTAAACAAACGCCTAGCAGCTTTCTAACATGGACACGATGAATATTGTACCATTATGAAGCCTACCGTCGACAATCTATACGGTATTAACAGAAGAAATGTGAAAATCTTAGACTGAGACAATAGCACTGCCGGTATCATGATAAGCGTGTGTTTTCTGTTGAGGGACCGTCACCTTGAGACGTTTGCAGAACATAAGCAGAACGACTTTGCGTTGTGATGTCCGCTATATCCGCATGCATCTTTTCAATGGTTTTACTATAAAGCATCGATTACTGCAT